AGGGAAATTCCAACACGTGGTGCCATGTAACTCTTGCAGATTCTAGGCGAAAATTAGGGATGTGTTTTTAGCCCCTGTACTTGCACTGAAATCCTCTTTGGTATTGTTTCTATGAGATAACCCAGATGACTCAAGTACAGAATGCTGGTGCAAAGGTGAATAGGCGTGCTGTAATTTTAAGATCGTTGGTTACTGAAATCCTCTGGAATGTATTTCTCTGTTGATGAGCTCTTGATTCACCCTTGAGCTCAGAATTAAGCTCGTGCTGCAGCTGTGGCCTAGGGAATATTACTGTTACGTGCAGTGTATAACATGTGAGCATTTCAAAATGTGCTGATATATTTTTACAGAGATGGCTAACACGCCCGGTGGACCATATTCTTCCTAAATACCTTTTAGCATTCTGCTGAAAACATATATAAATTTCCTCTTTCAAAATTCTGTAATAGTATTTCAAATAATCTGATCTACACTTCAAAATGCTTTGTCAGTTTAATAAGTAGTAGATTATAAACACATTCAGATCACAGATCTCCTCTGAAACAAGGTATCATCTCAGATACCTCCCAGTTGCACCTCGTAGTTGTTGCACTGATGTCCTTTGAATAAAAAGGTGCAGTACAGAGGTTCCTCAAATTAGTTTTGCTCTTTATTAATTGGGCTTTCATGTTACCAGCTCTTCTCGTGGTCCTTATGAGTTTCATAATAATAGGTGATTTTCTTCAGGCTCTAGAACCAGGAGTTATGTGAATACTGAGGAATTTCAGCTCTCATTTTAAAATGAAAAAAGACTTCTAGCCATCCTAGAAATTACAGAGAAAAACTTAAAAACCTGAGAGGCTCTACAGTCAGGAAGCAAATAAAAATAACCATTTTTTTTATGTTATGATTTTAGAGATTCAGTACAGGATTTTTTTTGAATATGGGGGATTGGCACGGTGAGGATTCAAACTCATGGGTTTAGAAAATGTTAGATGATAGAAAATATGAAATTCTATTGCTCTAAAAATAGTCAAATTCTCTCCTTTTTTTTTTTTTGGCAATAAAAATGTTCTTGGAGTATGGAATTTCTTACTATGAGTTTTAGCTGGATTCATTCATATGGACACCCCACAGTGTATATTGCCTCTAAACTTTTAAAACTTGTTCTCAGAAAGAAATTTTAAGGCAAATTTTTACCTGCCAAGACTGTAAGCCAGCTATCTGAAGATATATTTAGATCCATAAAGGACCATGAATTTTTACATCTGAAAAGATTAGTTGTAGGCAGTTTAAGCAATGCTGTTTTAGAAACATAATCCCAAGAGTGCACAATTTCTGTACAACAGATAGGCTAATGCAATGCTGGGAAAATACAGAGATTGTGAAGTCTAATTATTGTAATATCTTGTGAAGTAATGAAGAACTTGCAAGTATGATGGACAAACAGGTACTGGACTAACAAGCAGAAAGTCTTTTTTCCATCAAAGAGAAACAAAAGTTCACAAAAGGCACTTCATGTATTGGATAGAGGAGGATATGCAAATTGGAAAACATCCAACTATATTGTTTCTGATGTATAACCTGGACTAATGACTTCACAGAATGGTTGAGGTTGGAAAGGACCACTGGAGATCATCTAGACTTACATGAATACTTTGCTTATGGCTAAAGGGATTACCATGTACCCCTAGCTGATTAGAAGATGGCAAGCATGACAGGACAATACACAATACCATGCAAAGAACTTTTGTTTTTCCTTTAGGTGTATGTAGTCTTTGGCTTCAAGTTGTTGAATAGCAGTGTTATGCTAAGTACCTTTGTAAGGAAACTCTTAATTACAGCTTCACAAGGCTGAGTAAGTCTGCTTCATGGAAGAGATGGGATTGGAAGCAGATTCTGGAGCCTGTTTCTGGGGGGTGAGGCCCTGATAAACTTGAAGATTCACCGACTTGTAAATCATGTCCAGAGAGAGAAACAGGAACAGCCAGCCAAGGAAAGTTCCTTTTTCTGATCTTCATTTAGCCTCAAGAAACTCTCCTTGGCTGACTGTTTGGTAGATGCATTTCTGGTGAAATTGTGTACATTTATGTACGTTAGGTACACTTAACACCACAATACCTTGATACTTCTGAGGAATAAATGGCCTTGCATCTCCACCATCAGGGCTCCATTATAAACATGTTCCTGGCATGCTCAGCATTTGCAGAGAAGGCTGCCATGTTGACAGTTTCAAGCCAGTTATTACTGGGTGTTGTATGTTGTGGTTATTTCATTTGATTTCACAATTAATGACCCAATAATGGTTGCATCTAAAATCTCCTGGGTCAGTACTGATTGTGGTGGCCTCAAGACCAAACTCCTTGACAGTCCATTGAAGTTCCCTTTGATAAACCATAAAGTTATTAAAAAAAAAAAAAAAAAAGAACTGTGGGCTGCACCTCCACGGATCATATACCTTAACAGCAGCAATTAAACTTATATTTTTTCTGATATGTGTCTAACTTAAAGACTTCTGATGATGCTGACTTCAACATCTTTCTAGGCAGTCTAACCCCAATGTTTCAGTGTCCTTATAACTGCAA